GCTGGAGTGCAATGGCGCGATCTCGGCTCACCGCAACCTCCGCCTCCTGGGTTCAGGCAATTCTCCTGCCTCAGCCTCCTGAGTAGCTGGGACTACAGACACGCGCCACCATGCCCAGCTGATTTTTTGTATTTTTAGTAGAGACGGGGTTTCACCATGTTGACCAGGATGGTCTCGATCTCTTGACCTCGTGATCCACCCGCCTCGGCCTCCCAAAGTGCTGGGATTACAGGCTTGAGCCACTGCGCCCGGCCTCAAGATTTTCTTGACTAGGAAAGTTTGGAAAAATCTGGTGCAGCTCAGTTAGCCAATCAACAAACACTTGCTGTGCACAATCTATACTTCCTCCCATTTTGAGAGAATCAGCCTCCTCTGGTGTCCACCCCACTCATTCCCAGCCTCTGGTACTGTGTGGATAATAATGCCTTTGCCGCCTGCTCCATGATGGCCCCGGAGGCCTGAGTCAGGACCCGCAGGGAACTCTCAGCCTTCCCTTCCTGGTCTGCATGCCCATCTCCTCTGGCCACCTGGGCCTTTCATTCCTGTTGTGCAAGCTCAGGCCTAGCAGACAAGACATCCTCTTCTGTCCGTCACACAGGCCATCACACAGGCCTCGCTGCCCAGACCCGAGTCCTGGGGCTCAGACCGCTCTTGTGCGCATGTCACAGTCCATGAGCTGCGAGCCTCTTCAGGAAGGTCTGAGGTCGGCGAAACATTCTGGTCCTGCCCCAGTGCTGTGTCGCTGAGGGCCTGCAGTGTGAAAGCAGCAGCCAGCGCTGTTGGGATGGCTTCAGGTAGGCCCACTGTCTCACCAGCACTAACCGCACAGAGGTGAGAGCCCACGCCTGGGGAGGAGACAGACCAGTCAGTGGTCAAGTACCAAACAGTGTGACCGGCATTATAAGAACCACAAGTGCTTCCATTTAATTCTCACAAAATCCTATGGAGTAGGTACTATTATTACACATACCCATTATACAAATGAGGAAACTGAGGCACAGAGAGATTAGTAACATGCCCCACCTAGGTCATACAGCAACAAGAGGTAGAGCTGGGATACATACCCAGGCAGTCTGACTCCAAACCAGTCCTCTTAACCACTTCGCTCCATCTCCATCTATCCATCTTTACCGAAAACTTTGTCTTTCTCTGTACAGTATTCTCCACAGCAATGACTTGTCTTATGTTTTTTTTCAGAGTCTCACTCTGTTGCCCAGGCTGGAGTGCAATGGTGTGGTCTCAGCTCACTGCAACCTCCGTCTCCCAGGTGCAAGCAATTCTCTTGCCTCAGCCCCCTGAGCAGCTGGGATTACAGGCGCCTGCCACCACACCTGGCTAATTTTTGTACTTTAGTAGAGACAGGGTGTCACCATGTTGACCAGGATGATCTCGATCTCCTGACTTTGTGATCCACCTGCCTCAACCTCCCAAAGTGCTGGGATTACAGGCGTGAGCCACCGCGCCCGGCCAACTTGCTTTATTTTTAAAGGTGTAATCACAATGCGTGGGGAGCAAAGAAAGCGCTTAACCTACACTAGGGCACTCACAGAGGCTTTTTGGAGGTGATGTCTTTATTTGCCCAATAATGTGGTAGAGCAACCACTGTGTACCCAACACTGGTGATGCAGAGATGAGAAGGCCATGCAGCTCACAAATAGGGCAGGAACACCCCATAGGCACTGACGGAGAAAACACAGGGCATTATGGAAACACTGGGGATACCCCAACGCCCAAGAGATCAGGACAGGCTTCCTGGAGGAGGGGAACTAGTTCCCTTCACTAGGTGTAGTCATTAACCTGACGTTCTGATGGCCCAGAGGTCCCACTGGGCACACTCACACTTCTTTGTCTCAGTCAGTCCATCCTCCTGGACCTCTGGGCCAACCAAGCTTGAAACCCTCTCTGATCACCTATCCTAGACAGGCAGACCCCTCCAGGGAGGTCTGTGTTCCCAACTCCTGTGTGTCCTTAGAGGCAAGACTTTCAACCCGAGTCTTGCCTCTAAGAACCCCAGATCCTATGCCCAGCAGAGTCTGGTGTCAGTGGCTGCCTTGGGAGAGCCCAGTGGTTTGATTCGAGGGTGCCTAGAATTTAGAGCAAAAAGGGACTCCAGAAGCCACCTAAACCTATTTTGAAGGAAGCCACAGGAAATGCCCACCCCCCACAGCTCAGAGGGTCTGCAAATTCCAGGTTCCCAGTGCCCTATCTTCTCTCTGGGGTGGTCTGGCCCCACCTGGCTCTCCCTCAATCTTTGTCCCCGTGTCTGCCTTGCCTGATGGTGGCCAGGGGGGCCTTTCCTGAATAACGATGGTATTGGCTCAGATTAAGGGCAACTAGCTGGCTCTTGGTTTTTCCTTTTTATATAACAACTAATCTCCTTCTAATCAGCCATTATTAAATTATATTCCATTTTTAATTCATTCACAGATCACCGTTGGGACAGCTGGATGGATAATTGGAGAGAGATAATTTATGTAAATGAGGAGCAGCAGAAGGTGGGGGATCTGGAGGCCCAGGGCCAAAGGCCTTCCCCACCCCCACTCGTATCCAGGCTGGGGAGGGGGCAGTGGTCTGGGTCCTCCTGGAAACAGGCACCCTCCTGGACACGGGAAGGATTGGGGGCTTCCCTGGGACCTCAGGTTTCCTGACTCGTGGTTCCTAGCATGGCTTCTCAGCATCACCTTGAACACTTCTGGCAGATGGGGAGCTCACTACTTTGGAGGTGGGGGTAGCTCTCAGACATCAGCTCCCCTTTTTAGAAGCAGATCCTTAGAGGCAGAATGTGTCCATTTTACAGATGAATATACTGTGGACCCAAGCTCTCTCCTGCCAATTTCTTCAACAAAAAACGATAACAAGCCCCAGAGCATTCTGGAGTCAGAGCTGTGTCTGATTCCAGCTCCACCACTGGGTGCCGGTTCCTAACCTCAGTTCCCACATCTGCAAAACGCAGGTAGCGACAGTACCTACCTCATAGGGTGCGCGAAGCTTAAGTGCCTGGTGCCTAAGGAAGAGACCAAGACAAGTGCATGGCGGCTCTTCTCGCCACTATAGGACCATGTGTGTCTTTCAAAACCTTCCTCTCTAACATCCGCCTTCTGGCCATGGAGCTTCCTTCTGATAACACACAAAAGAAATCCACTTCCTTTGCTATCTGAAGACAGCTCTGTACCACTGAAAATAATTACATGCCTCACTGACGGAGGATTTTCCTATGTGCCCTGCATTGGCTAAGCACTGGATGTGTCGTGTCTCATTGTATGCTCAGAACAATTATAGAAAGTGGGACGATTGTGTCCATTTTACAGATGAATATACGGTGGACCCAAGCTCTCTCCTGCCAGTTCCTTCAATAAAAACGGTAACAAGCCCCAGAAGCCTGCTTAGAAAGGAACACGAGGCTCAGAAAACCTGGAGCCCAGCCGGAGGGTATCTTGGGAATGTACCTTGGGGACTGGCAGGCAGGGTCAGGGATGGCAGGGAAGGTGGGTGAGAGAGGTTGGACCCCAGCCTTCTTGGCTGTCCCTTTGGGGCCCCAAGAATCAGGGACGGGTGGGCATTCATGGGCACAGGTGCTCTGACAGCGCTTTAGGGGCAAGGTCTGCCTTTGCCTGGGGCTGGCATGGGCTGGCAGGGAGGCCCTTGGACCATTCCCAGAGGGAGACAGGGGATTAAAGGGGGTTAGGGAGGTGGTCCCAGAGGGTCCATGCAGAGTAATGGGATTAGCTCTTGGGCAGTGAGTGAAAGTTATTATCGTGTGGGGCCTTTGGCCTCCCACCCAAGGCTGCAGCTGTCACCCATCCTGGGAGGCACCAACAGCCCCCTCCACCCCCACCTTGGGGCAGGCTGGCACCTCTTCTTTTCTGCTGTGGTCATCTGCCTAGGGGCTGGCCCCCTAGCTTTAGCCTCCTGTTGGTCCTTGACAGACGGGGTCACCCATGCAGTATGCCCTAGCTTTCCTCCGTGCCTCAGTTTCCCCTAGAAGGCTACAGGAAGATGCTTGAGATCCTCTGAGGCATAGGGGTCCGGAACCAGGTCTCTCCTGAGTTTCTGGCTCTGCCACGCATTAGCTGTGTGACCCTAGGTACCTCTGACAGCCTCTCTGTTCCCTAATTGGTAAAATAGGGGCAGTTAACAGGGCAGTGTTAGAGTTTTCGCAGCGGAGGGCTGGGTAGCGGGCACAGCGTCGGCCTCTTGGTGCTGGGCACCTCCTAGAGGCCGGGGCCGCGGGGAGCAGCGGGCCTAAGGCCTAACGACAGGAGGAGGCCAGTCTTGTCGGAGCCTCCCAGCCGCTGCGAAGCGGGTTCAAGGCAGCGCCTGAGCGAAGCCGCCGGCGGGAGCCTTCGGGGCAGCTCCGGGCTCCCTCTAGCGGTGGCCGCGCGGGTGGCGCGGCGCGGGCGCGACCCCTTCGGGCTGCGAGGAGCCTCCAGAGGCAGATGAGGGATGCCAGTGAGGCAGGTGGGGGATGCCGGTCCGAGGATCTGGGCCAGTCCGCCTTCCTCCAAGGCAACAGAGAGGAGGGATTTCGAAAGTCCTCAAAGGCTCCCCTTCTTAAGCAATGCATAGCACCCATCCTGGGAGCCTCTGTCCCTTCGCTTGTATGTCTGTTGGAATGGGAGTGCCTCCCTGAGCCGGGCGCGGTGGCTCACGCCTGTAATCCCAGCACTTTGGGAGGCCGAGGAGGGCAGATCGCTTGAGGTCAGGAGTTTGAGACCAGCCTGGCCAGCATGGTGAAACCTCGCCTCTACTAAAATACAAAAAATTAGCTGTGTGTGGTGACACGTGCTCCCAGCTACTCGGGAGGCTGAGGCAGGAGAATCACTGGAACCGGGGAGGCAGAGGTTGCAATGAGCTGAGGTAGCGCCACTGCACTCCAGCCTGGGCAACAGAGTGAGACTCAACTATAAACAAATAAATAAATAAGGTCTCCCTGGAGGCATAACACATCAGGGACGTCTCAGCCACTGCATACTCATCCCAAGGCCAGCAGAGCAGGGAGGGCCGCAGGGAATTTGCCCAGTATGCATGGCTAATGCCACTCTGTCCATGTGCTCGAGTGGTACCTGGAAGAACCAGACATGGCAGTGCCAGACTGTGGACAAGTCAGTCCCTTTTCTAGTCTGTTTCCTCACAGTGAACTGACAGGGTGAGACCAGGTCAGTAGTTCCACCCTTTCAATTTCAAGAGCCCTATCCCCCTGGGTTTTAGAGACGGGGTCTTGAACTGTGGCCCAGGCTGGAGTATGGTGATGCCTCCATGGCTCACTGCAGCCTCAACCTCCTGGGCTCAAGTGATCCTCCTACCTTGGCTTCCCAAAGCGCTGGGATTACAGGTGTGAGCCACTGCACCTGGCCAACTTTTATATAATTTTAAAAAGAAGAAAAAAGTTCATATTCATGCAATGGAATACTGTGCTGCTATTCTACATTCTGATCTGCAGCAATCTCTAAGAGATTTGCTCTTGTAGGCCAGGCTGGAGTGCAATGGTGAGATCTTGGCTCACTGCAACCTCTGCCTCCCGGATTCAAGTGATTCTCCTGCCTCAGCCTCCCAAGTAGCAGGGATTACAGGCATGCACTACCACGCTCGGTCAATTTTTGTATTTTTAGTAGAGACAAGGTTTCATCATGTTGGTCAGGCTGGTCTCGAACTCCTGACCTCAGGTGATCCATCTGTCTTGGCCTCCCAAAGTGCTGGGATTACAGCCGTGAGCCACAACACCTGACAGTATTATTTTTTAAAAAGGAAGATGGACAGTATGTTTTATTTCCACGTGTGAAAAATATGTATATATAAATATTTTTTAATTTCTGGAAAAGCATATGAAAAACTGGTTTCTCATTGGTTGCGGGAAAGGGAATCAGTTGGCTGGAGGG